AATTATCTTCTCCTAGTTTGTGACCCCTTGTTGGGTCTACGTTCTTCTCCCCAGAAATATTATGTGCCACACAGGGTACTTGGCATGGTGCATACAGATGAGTCCCTTGGGGCTGGCCCCGTGGCCAAGTGGTTAAGTTCGCGCGCTCCGCTGCAGGCGGCCCAGTGTTTCATTGGTTCGAATCCTGGGCGTGGACATGGTACTGCTCATCAAACCACACTGAGGCAGTGTCCCACATGCCACAACTAGAAGGACCCACAACGAAGAATATACAACTATGTACTGGGGGGCTTTGTGGAGAAAAAGGAAAAAAAAAATCTTAAAAAAAAAAAAATCTCAGATGAGTCCCTTGCCCTCATGTAGCGTACATTCTGGGGGCGAAAAAGACAGGAGACAGACACAGAAAAGTAAAAATAAATACAGACGGTTCATGATTGAAGACAAATGAAATGGAAGTGGACATGCTTTACTCAGAAACTTTAGGAAAGACCTCTTTGAGAAGGTAACGTATAAGTTGAGACCTGAATGATAAGGAGCCAGTCATGCTAGGGGTGGGAACACATACAAAGTCCAAGTGAGTTGTGTTTGGGAAATTGGCAGGACTGTATGGATAGAGGAGTGGAAAGTGGAAAGAAAATAATGGACTATATATAAGATCAGGCTGGAAAGGCAGGCAGAAGCCAGATCACAAAGGGCTCTGGAAGGCATGTTAAGGAGTTTGAGTTTTATTCTAAGTACTATGAGAAGCCACTGAAGAGTTTAATATAGCATATGACCTGCTCATTTCTCTATTTTTACTAGTGGAAGAGATAAGTGTTAAGATTTATTATGGAGTTAGAATTGGCAAAACTTTTTATATTTAATAGCACTGCCTAACTTCTCATTTCCAAAAATATACATACAAATGTCTTTAACCTATATTAGACACTTGTGACTTTTTCAATGGATGTGTTTTATAAGGTTTAAAACAATTTAAGACAAGGAGTTGCCACATTTTGAATAGGATACCTTAAATTTACAACATATGCCAAGTATTCAAATTACCACATAAATGTTAAGGTTAAAAAAGTATTCAAATGTGAATAGCAATTGACCTTATAAAGAAGAGATGTAGTTGACAGTTTATCATTTACAATTATTAACTATTACTCCCCACTTTAAAACATAATTACCAGTATTTGATATCTTTTCAGAGCAGGCAGTGCCTGCATTTCCTGGAGCAACCAACACTTTTTTGACATGACTAGACTGTGCAAGTTTCCAGGCCAGCGTATGTTCCCTTCCTCCATTGCCAATTACTAGTACTCGGGCTGCCATTGCTGTCTGCAAAGCAGGAATTCAAAAGGAAAATGGAAGCTGCAGAAAGAAAACCACAGTTGATATTTTAGAATGCACATACTTTAGAAATCACAATTTATAAATATGGTTTAAGTAGTCATTTGTAATTATACAAGTGACATTTTATTCCAAGAATTCATTTGTGAAAAGTTAGGATTCATAATTTGAGAAACATGACAGTACTCCTAAGGTTTAGGGAGGTACTTTTTTTTTTTTTTTTGAGGAAGATTAGCCCTGAGCTAACTACTGCCAATCCTCCTCTTTTTGCTGAGGAAGACTGGCCCTGAACTAACATCCATGCCCATCTTCCTTTACTTTATAAGTGAGACGTCTACCACAGCATGGCATGCCAAGTGGTGCCATGTCTGCACCTGGGATCCAAACTGGTGAACCCTGGGCCGCCGAGAAGCAGAATGTGCACACTTAACCGCTGTGCCACCTGGCTGACCCCTAGGGAGGTATTTTAACAATGAGGCAGACTGGCCTAGACAGCTAGGTTAAGGAGTGAAACAGTGACTTAGCTCTTTACCTGTTAAAAAAAAAAAAAACTATGAATATTCACCCTTCTTTGGGTTTCTCTTTTAGAAGATTTACTAAGCATCAAGCCTCAGTTAAAAATGAGTCCTGATGTTTTAAATTTAGACCTCAAATTTGAAATAACTGTTTTGAAATCCTGAGATCTATAATAGACTTTAAAGTTATCATAACTTGGAAGAAATATTTAAGACTGGGGGCTATAAAGGGCTAGATGGTAAATATTTTCATCTTTGAGGGCCAGAGAGTCTCTGTTGCCACTACTGAACTCTGTCGCTGTAACACGAAAGCAGCCGTAGACAACACATAAGTGGATGAATGTGGTCATGTCCAGTATAAACAGGCAGTGGTGTGTACGTCATAGTCTGCCTATCTCTGCCACAAGCAACAGGAAGCTACCAGAGGTTTGTAAAGAATAAGCATGGCTGTTTCAGTAAAACTTTATTTATGGACACTGCAATTTGAATTTCATATGATTTTCATGTGTGAAAAACATCATTCTTCCTTTTATTTTTTTTTTTTCCCAACCATTTAATGATATGAAAACTATTCCTATTTGGTGGGCTGTACCAAAACAGGTGGCAGGAAGGATTTAGCACAAGGGCCATAGTTTGCTGACCCCTGATTTAAAGAGTTCGGGCCACATGTTAGAAAATTGGTAGAGAAGGAAAAAATCAAATTTGAACTTGTCTCACTTTAGTTCTGGCACTTGATTCTGGGCTGGATGAGCACAACAGCTATCTCTCAACTCAAGTTAGCCGTGTGACCTTGGCTAGGCTCTTACTATCCGTAATTCAATTTCTTCACATTTTAAAATATGGAAGAGAACTTGCCTTAGGAGGCTATGAAAGGACTAACTGAAATGACATTTATAAACAATTAGTGCAACTTCTGACACTTAGCAACAGTAAGTCCTAACTTGTTATATTTTATTACTTTTACCTAAATTATAGTACTTTAGGGACAGAAAGTAGTTCTAACAGGGGAAAAAAAAAAGCCAGGAATGGATAATTCATCACATTAATTTACTAATTTTCAGAAGACATTTAATTACGTAGAAGGCAGACTGATAACAGGAGAAAGAAAACTGAAATCGGTAACTTCTTGCGAGATGCTAGGATTACACATTTAAAGAAAAACCTAAGCTGATAAAATAAACTAACATTTTTTGAGTACTTACTTTGTGCCAGATGCTATTCTAAATGCTTTTCATGAATTACCTCATTTAATCTTCATAAGAAATCTATGAGCTAGATACCACTGCCATCCCCACTTTACAGATAAGAAACTGAGGTCCAGTTAGGTTAAGTAACTTGCTGGACGTCACACAGCTAAGAGGGGGTGGAGCCTGGGTTCCAATGGATGCACTCTTGCTTCAGATATTCTAACAATTGAGACAGCGATCATTGAAAATTTGAGGAAGAAAAAAAATGCAACATTATCCTCTTAGAGAGGGAAAAGCTATTTTAGTTTAATGGCAAACAGATTTGCCACGTGTGTTGAAATATCTGAAATACACGTTTGAATCTAGGGTTAAAACATTACGTTCAGTTTGAACAGGAGGAGCAGGGACAGAGACCGTCCTGGTCACTACAGTGGATCACTGGAATAGCATGAGGACGTAGCTGGAAGGAATCTACCCCTGGAGCGGGGAGGAGGCCTCGGCTCCAGTCAGAGTGCCTTGGTTTGGGCTGAGACTCTGTCCCGTTAGCTGGAATACCTTGATGGACTCAATTAACCTTCTTAGGCCTCAGTCACCTAGGTGGGTAACTTATCACGAGAATAAGAGACCCAGCTGAAGCCATTTCAAAGGATTTGGTGGGAATGATATAAAGTAGAAACCAATGACAAAAGTGGAGTAAATAATCTGCAAGAGGCAATGGGTGCATAACGAGAACATATGCAATTTACGTTTGCGACCTAAAAAAAGCCTAGAGATGCAAAAATGCCCCGACATCTTAGAAAGCAGGGATAGTGATAGAGCCAATGGAAACCTGTCTGCAGAAGTGAAGAGCACATGGTCACCCCCGACCCACGGCATTTCAAAATAAGATGGAAATTCCGACAGCCAAACCAGGTCCTACAGTTCCAGTCAACACATGACGTGAAATCCCCCGACCAAAGCATAAATGGACTGAAAAGCGGAGGGGGCTTACGCACCGACACAAGGCGGTCTCGCAGGTCGCACTGACCCCCCTCGCGTGGCCGCGCCGGATGTCGCCGCGCGGATCCGGCGCCCGCGCTCCCCGCCCGCCCCGCGGGGGCTTCGCCTCCCCATTGGTCGGCGCGGCCCGTGTCCGTGCTGCGCGGGGCTGAGCGCGCCCCCGTCCCGCCCCGGGCGCGGCCTGAGTCTCCTCCGGAGCGAGGCGCGTTCCTCATGGCACACAGAGGGGCAGGCCCACGGAGCGTCCCTGTTCCCCCCGAGAGCCTCCTAAGCAGGGAGGAGGGGTAGCGCCCAAAGGCTAACTCCACGTTCAGCCGCTTGTATGTGGCTAACGAGGCGGAACCGAGCAGCCAGCGCGTCCAAGTCTCGTGACGCGCCTGGCTCCTGACGAGACTAGAATGCACCAGGCTCTGAACGCAGGTCGCTCAGGACCGCCCGCCTGTGGCTTAAAAAAAAGAAAGGGGGCCGACTATAGGATGCTCTGGGAGAGAGATGGGGCGACAGCGTGTTCTTCGTGCTAGCACCACAGTGGGGGCGGGCGCTAATGAATGTTTTCCCAGACGCTAGTCCCCGCTGAAACTCAACTTGGCGCCGCCCGGGAATGTGGGGGGGGGGGGGCCCGTGTCAAACATCATGTTGCCCTTCTTGTTCCCTTTCCTCGTGGCATTTAATCTCAGGCGCTCGGTGGCTAAAGAAAGCCTCTTAAGCCCCCCCAAACACCGTTGGAGACTGGCAACTTAAGCTCAGAGTCGCCTCAACAGAGACTTCTCCTGTAATGGCGCCTGCGTCAGTCACTAACATGGCGGACACAGTCGTGCGCGGCGCAAACGTCAGCATCTCTACCCCAGCCGCTCAGAAACAGCGGAGGAGAGCGGGGCCGTCTTCACTGATTGGTCCAGCGGCGGAACGTGCCGGTCTGGTCGCTCTCACAGGAGCCAATCAGGACGCCGAGAGACGGAATTGGCCGCTGCGCCTCCTCCCGAGGCATGCTGGGAGCCTGGAGGACTAGCGAGGAGGAGTTGAGAGAACGGAGCGGACGCCATGGCGACCAACATCGAGCAGATATTTAGGTCTTTCGTGGTCAGTAAATTCCGGGAAATTCAACAGGAACTTTCCAGGTAAACGTTTCCCAGACCCTTTTGTTCCCAAAGGACCGATAGGGCGCCACGTAGCCTTCCATGGCACCTCTCTTCAGAGACGCCGTAGTTCCTCGCCTCAGGCCCCGCTACAGCCCCGCCTGGGCCTGGGATCCATTTTCCGGGCCCTCCCCCCCCCTCCGTTCCCTCCCTTCCCGGCGAGGAACTTCGCCCTTTCTGAGGGAACCCCAGACTCCCTTTTCTAGAGTCGAGTTACGATGCTCATCCTTCTCGCCCGTCTGGCCATCCCCGACCCTTTAGCTGTTTGTCGGCCTGGGTGTCCACCGGGGACGGGCCTAGTTCCTGCCTCGGCTCCTCCTCCGCCGCCGCGTCCCCCCTCCCCCTCCCCGCCTCCGCGGCCCTCGCCGGCCGGTGCCTGTGACCGGAAAGGGTCTCTAACGGCCGTTTCTTGGGTAATCTTAAATCCGCTTTAGTATTGCAAGCTGCGGACCATTTAGGGGTCGGGATCCTTTAATTAGATTATTTGGGCCCTCCTGTCCTGTGGCTTCCACCGGGCAGCGTTCGAATAGCTTAGCAATTGAAAGCAGCTCAAATTAGCGTTAGCTACTTGGAGAAAATACTCGAGGCGAGGATGGACGGGGACTTTGAATTACTCGTAACGTCTTAATTTACCAAGCGGAAAGTGGGCTTTGTGTGTCGGTCTCAATGTTTTTGCTACGCCTGCCCCGATTGACGTGTTAGAACAACATGCTACTGCTGCCTTTGCTGTTAGACTATACGTCGTTTACCCTGGATTCCACAAAATTTGAACGGGAAGACCTTTCCAAAGATACACTTGTTTATTTAGAAAGGAAAATAGAGTGGGTCATGTTGTTCAGTGATTTTTGCTTTGTATAGCGTAAATATTTGTTCCGAGTTCAAATGTTTTTGCTAGTTGTATTTTAAAAGTTGAGAGCAAGAGCAATACGTGAATTTGAAAATCAGCCGGCAACGCAATTGTAAATTAAGCACACAAATTAACGTAGGGTTATTGGGGCAATGATATAGTATTGCTAGAATTATTATTTTTGCAGGATATATTGTCTTTTAAGTGGGAAATGTATCTGCTCACTCATTTCATTGCTTTTTAAAATTTTGTTATGTGCTAGTGATTTTAGAATGAGAAAAGACCTGAGCTAAGCGAATATAGTTTTTCTGAAAACTTAATAGTTGCGTGCGATTAGTTTTGTTTGTTTCTTTTAATGCCTTGTTTTTATACCTTTTAAGAATTAGTTTTTGTAATAGAAAATGAGCGTTTTATTGTTGTACAAAATTTAGAAAAAATAAAAAGATAAAAAACCACCACCTAGTTATTGATGCCCTTTGTGTTCTTTCATTGTACCGATGCACATACATGTTTTGTGAAATGTGATAATCATGTGGTGTTTTTCACCTATCTATGTATCGTGAACGAGTTGGTGTTTGATTACAGTCTCAGTAGTGTTTTAGGACATTTTTCACGCTCCATCGAATTCTGTTGTAGGAATGTATCGAGGATAGTTAGGTGGTTTGAAGTTTTCATCCCTTTTCAGTAGTTGAGGTAAACATTCTGATAGCTTTAAGATGATTACTTTCTCATAGATTGACTTTTTTTAGTCGTACTTTTGTCGATTTTTAAATCCGTGGCCTTTTTAGTGAGGTGGTTACATGCAGGTGCTTTGGAAAAGTATGAAATAAAGAGCTCCAGAAAGAAAATCTGAAAAGAATATTAGACAGGGCAGTTTATTACTAGAAGAATATTCAGGTTCTTCTCAAGTAACATGCAATGTTATCAGTCTGAAAACAAGTTTTTGATTATTTGCCATTTCAGTGAGCTATATTTCTCTTTTTTGTCATCTATTTTTACATATATCAGTTTGGGTAAGGAGATTTATATTTATAGGTGGTAGTTGAGTGTATGAGCTCTGGTTTTGAATACCAGTTTCACCTCTTAATAGATAGGTGACCTTCCGCTACGTTCCTTGTCTTCTCTGTGCCTCGTTTTCCTTATTTATAAAATGAGAATAGTAGTGCTGACCTTAGAGTTTTGTTAGGATTAAATGAGTTAAAAAATGTAGAACCATGTGACACGAATAGTCAATAAATGTTAGTTATGTGATTTTTTTTAAAACCAATTATTCCTTAATAACATTTAGTTCAGTACTGATTTTTTTTGTTTTTTACTGTTCAGGCTTTTTATCAGGTATTGGAGCATAATTGATGTTAGCTAAAATTTAAGTTGTTGAAATTATTTCAAAAAAATTTTATGCAAAAATAGTAAGAATGACTAGGTAAATAAATGTCAAGATCCTTCTGGCTCTGAATTGAAAATATGTTAAGCCATTCATTCCTTTACTGTTGGTATAAATGAATTGTCACTTGTTTCACATGAATTTTTTTTTGAACACCAGAAAGTTTTTTAACACCTGAATTTTTGATGAGTGGATACAAGTTATATAAATGTATTTTTCTTTTTAAACTTTATGGCATTTCAATAACTTAGTCTAAACCTGATCAGAGGCTACATGTTACCCTTTTTACTTAATGTGTTTGTGGCTAATTTTGTGTTCCTTGATGCTGTTGATGCTGATTGTGATCCATGCACAGGTGTGGCTTTATTGTAGCTATAGCTTCTCCCATAATGTTGGGATATATATTTTTTCTTTACATTTATGATTGTGATCTTAATAGTTTTTCTCCCCTGAGATAAATATGCAGGTAACCCATATCTAAACCAATTTAGATTTCTGGGAGTATTTTATTTAAAAAAAAAAAGATGAGCTTAAAACCTATTCAAAGACTTTCTCTTAACTTTCAGGTTCTGAAAACTGTATGTAATTGTGTAAAAATGAAAATGTACCAACTATAAGCAGATAGTGTTAAGGAAGCACTGTTGGCAGGGAATATTATCTGAAAGAAACACAAAAATAGTTCATGTTGTGTATGAACAATATAAGATTATTATTTTAATCAGTTGAGTTATAAATCTAAATTTATTATATGATGTGGTAAAAATATTAACGAATTTTGATAACTTTTCTTGTCAAGTGGAAGGAGTGAAGGTCAGCTCAATGGTGAAACAAATACACCTATTGAAGGAAACCAGGCAGGTGATGCAGCTGCCTCTGCCAGGAGCCTACCAAATGAAGAAATAGTGCAGAAGATAGAGGAAGTACTTTCTGGGGTCTTGGATACAGAACTACGATATAAGCCAGGTAAGTTGGAGATAATTAGCTATCTCAAAAACTTTGTTTTAAGACTTTTAAATAGTTAACTATTATTTCTTGAGTATGGGGTATTTAAAATGTTCATTAGATCTAAAACTTCAAAGATTTCTAAGTTTTAGTTTAATTATTAACCAAAGACTTTGTTTAAATTCTTCTTTGAAAATACGGTTATCCAGAAACGTGAGCGTTGATGCACTTGTTTGCTTTGGTGGTAGACTATGACTTTATCTGATTCAGTCTTGTAGTGCCTCAATGCCAGGATTTTGAATGTGGGTTTTCATTGAACAGTTGTATAAATGTCAGTTTTGGAAGGTACAGAAGCTTGGACCAAATCTGTAATAATTTTAAAATCCTGGGAGATTTTATTTTAAAGCCCAAGCTTAGAGATTGCCTTGTTTGCATCCATCCCTCTTAAAGGTACAGTGAATGGAGAAGAATCATTGCTTGGATGTTTAATGTTTTTGGAATTGATTAGATACTTGATGTTTGGAAATGAAAGATTTATGAACAGCCACAAAAATAACAGTCTCTTCATTTAGTTTTGGAAATGGAGGAATGTGGTATGGTTTCTTATTTTTTTAGTTTTTATTTTTGGTACAGAGTATGGTAAAAAAGCGTAGATTTTAGCTGTATCTAGATTCATGGCTCTAGCAACTTTTTCCTGATTTATTTATTTAACTTAGCTAACTAATATTTGGTACTTAATAAACACTTAACAGAAAATGAGTAGTTTGCTTTGGAATGGGTCTTGTCATGTGTTGATTCATTTTTTTCCATGATATTGATGGCGTGGATTTCTAAACAGCTTTTTCTGGATCACTGAGATTTATCTAATTTGATATTGGCATTGGAGTAAATCCCATCTGGTTGTAAAGTGGAATATACACCACTTTCTCTTTCAGATATGCAAATTGCAGTGTTCTTAAGTTACATGTTAAGGACTGTAAGAATTTCTTTCCCAAAATGACACTATTATTTTCTAAGTAGAAACATTAAAAAAGTTATTTCTTAATAATTTTAGAAGAGTATTGGGGGGAAAGGTCTTACTTTTATTAGAATGTAACGTGGGTGTGATAAGATAAAATTCAAGTTCCATATTGATACTTTACATTTGTTGTTCAGACCTTTTGTGTATTATATAAAAGCAAACGCTAGCATTTGTTGAGGGCTTACTATGTGCCAGGTGTTGTTCAATGTATTTTGTATGTTTTAACTCACTTCATCCTCTACTCAAGTAACTGTCAGTAATTTGGCCAAGTCCATTCATCTAGTGACCTGGTGGATTGGTTCAGGATCCAGAAACAGACAGGCTGTTCCAGAGCCAGTGCCATGTTGCTTCCTATATAAGTAGGGGTTATAAAATAGTCGTAAAATGGTTTGATATGGGTATTTTTCAAAGGAATTCTAACAATTGGTAATATGAAAGATACTCATCTTTAAGTGTAGTTTAAAAGTAATTTGCTATAATTTGAGACCTGGAGAAAATAATCATTTTAAATGAATTTAGTAAAACATATCTTAATGTAATTTTAAAAGTTTTTGTGGTAAACTAAGAACTTATTTTTAACCCAGGCTGTAGTTGTGGAAGGAAATATTGGAGAAGTATGAATCTTCAGCTAATTGGTTTATGGAAAATAGTTTATTTGGCAAATAGTTTTTTAACAAGAAGTGTTATATAATGGTGTTTTAACATGGAATGTGAATTTTGGCCTGTATGATTTATATAAATCTACTTTGGGGAATGTTTGACAAGTTAAAATTGATTTCCTTTAATTTCAGACTTGAAGGAGGCCTCCAGGAAAAGTAGATGTGTGTCTGTACAAACAGATCCTACTGATGAAATACCCAGCAAAAAGTCAAAGAAGCACAAAAAGCACAAAAATAAAAAGAAGAAAAAGAAGAAAGAAAAGGAAAAAAAGTATAAAAGACAGCCAGAAGAATCTGAATCCAAGCTGAAATCACATCATGACGGGAACATAGATTTAGAATCAGATTCCTTTTTGAAGTTTGATTCTGAACCTTCAGCTATGGCACTGGAGCATCCTGTAAGAGCGTTTGGCCTATCTGAGACTAGTGAATCTTCTGCAGTTGTGCTAGAACCTCCTGTAGTATCAATGGAGGTATCAGAGCCACACACCTTAGAGACTCTGAAGCCAGCTATGAAAACTGCAGAACTGTCAGTTGCATCTACATCAGTAATCTCAGTGCAGTCAGAGCAGTCTGTGGCAGTAACGCTGGAACCATCCTTGACAAAGATTGTGGATCCCTTTGCAACAGCACCAGTGCCTACTACAACAGTAGTGCTGAAGACGTCTGAGCCGGTTGTAACAATGTCAGTGGAGTATCAGATGAAGTCTGTGCTGAAATCTTTGGAGAGCACACCTCCAGAGCCATCAAAGATCATGTTCTTAGAGCCTCCAGTAGCAAAAGTGCTAGAGCCATCAGAAACCCTCGCGGTATCATCAGAGACACCTACTGAGGTGCACCCAGAACCAAGCACATCAACAACAATGGATTTTCCAGAGTCATCTGCAACTGAAGTGCTCAGATTGCCAGAGCAGCCTGTAGAAGTACCATCGGAGATTGCAGATTCATCCATGACAAGACCACAGGAGTTGCTGGAGCTGCCCAAGACCACAGCGTTGGAGCTGCCGGAGTCGTCGGTGGCCTCAGCGATGGAGTTGCCGGGGCCACCTGCGACCTCCATGCTGGAGTTGCAGGGGCCCCCTGTGACTCCAGTGCTGGAGTTACCTGGGCCCTCTGCTACCCCAGTGCCAGAGTTGCCAGGGCCCCTTTCTACCCCAGTGCCTGAGTTGCTAGGGCCCCCTGCGACAGCAGTGCCTGAGTTGCCGGGGCCCTCTGTGACATCAGTGCCACAGTTGTCGCAGGAATTGCCGGGGCTTCCAGCACCATCTATGGGGTTGGAGCCACCACAGGAGGTACCAGAGCCACCTGTGATGGCACAGGAGTTGCCAGGGCTGCCTGCGGTGACAGCAGCAGTAGAGTTGCCAGGTCAGCCTGCAGTTACCGTAGCAATGGAGTTGACCGAACAACCTGTGACGACGACAGAGTTGGAGCAGCCTGTGGGGATGACAACGATGGAACATCCTGGGCAGCCTGAGGTGACAACGGCATCAGGGTTGCTGGGGCAGCCTGAGGCAGCGATGGTGCTGGAGTTGCCAGGACAGCCAGTGGCAACAACAGCGCTGGAGTTGTCAGGGCAGCCTTCGGTGACTGGGGTGCCAGAGTTGCCAGGGCTGCCTTCGGCAACTAGGGCACTGGAGTTGTCGGGGCAGCCTGTGGCAACTGGGGCACTGGAGTTGCCTGGGCAGCTCATGGCAGCTGGGGCACTGGAATTCTCGGGGCAGTCTGGGGCAGCTGGAGCACTGGAGCTTTTGGGGCAGCCTCTGGCAACCGGGGTGCTGGAGTTGCCAGGGCAGCCTGGGGCGCCAGAGTTGCCTGGGCAGCCTGTGGCAACTGTGGCGCTGGAGATCTCTGTCCAGTCTGTGGTGACAACAACGGAGCTGTCAACGATGACGGTGTCGCAGTCCCTGGAGGTGCCCTCGACGACAGCGCTGGAATCCTATAATACGGTAGCACAGGAGCTGCCTGCTACGTTAGTGGGGGAGACTTCTGTAACAGTAGGAGTGGATCCCTTGATGGCCCAAGAATCCCATATGTTAGCTTCTAACACCATGGAGACCCATATGTTAGCGTCCAACACCATGGACTCCCAAATGCTAGCGTCCAATACCATGGACTCCCAGATGCTAGCGTCCAACACCATGGACTCCCAGATGTTAGCCTCTAGCACCATGGACTCCCAGATGTTAGCAACTAGCTCCATGGACTCCCAGATGTTAGCAACCAGCTCCATGGACTCCCAGATGTTAGCAACCAGCTCCATGGACTCCCAGATGTTAGCAACCAGCTCCATGGACTCCCAGATGTTAGCAACCAGCTCCATGGACTCCCAGATGTTAGCAACCAGCTCCATGGACTCCCAGATGTTAGCAACCAGCTCCATGGACTCCCAGATGTTAGCAACCAGCACCATGGACTCCCAGATGTTAGCAACCAGCACCATGGACTCCCAGATGTTAGCAACTAGCTCTATGGATTCCCAGATGTTAGCGTCTGGCACTATGGACTCTCAAATGTTAGCTTCCGGCACCATGGATGCTCAGATGTTAGCGTCTGGTACCATGGATGCCCAGATGTTAGCATCTAGTTCCCAAGATTCTGCTATGTTGGGTTCAAAATCTCCTGATCCCTACAGGTTAGCTCAGGATCCTTACAGGTTAGCTCAGGATCCCTATAGGTTAGGTCATGACCCTTATAGGTTGGGTCATGACGCCTACAGGTTAGGGCAGGACCCCTATAGATTAGGCCATGATCCCTATAGACTAACTCCTGATCCCTATAGGATGTCACCTAGACCCTATAGAATAGCACCCAGGTCTTATAGAATAGCCCCCAGGCCATATAGGTTAGCACCTAGACCCCTGATGTTAGCATCTAGACGTTCTATGATGATGTCCTATGCTGCAGAACGTTCCATGATGTCGTCTTATGAACGCTCTATGATGTCTTATGAGCGGTCTATGATGTCCCCTATGGCTGAACGCTCTATGATGTCAGCCTATGAGCGCTCTATGATGTCAGCTTATGAGCGCTCTATGATGTCCCCTATGGCCGAACGCTCTATGATGTCAGCTTACGAGCGCTCTATGATGTCAGCTTACGAGCGCTCCATGATGTCCCCGATGGCTGACCGATCTATGATGTCCATGGGTGCCGACCGGTCTATGATGTCATCGTACTCTGCTGCTGACCGGTCTATGATGTCATCGTACTCTGCAGCTGACCGATCTATGATGTCATCTTATACTGCTGATCGTTCAATGATGTCTATGGCAGCTGATTCTTACACCGATTCTTATACTGATACATATACGGAGGCATATATGGTGCCACCTTTGCCTCCTGAAGAGCCTCCAACAATGCCACCATTGCCACCTGAGGAGCCACCAATGACACCACCATTGCCTCCTGAGGAACCACCAGAGGGTCCGGCATTACCCACTGAGCAGTCAACATTAACAGCTGAAAATACTTGGCCTACTGAAGTGTCAGCATTACCTCCTGAAGAGTCTGTATCGCTGCCTGAACCTCCTGTGAGTCAAAGTGAGATTTCAGAACCTTCGGCAGTGCCTGCTAATTATTCAGTGTCAGCATCAGAGCCTTCAGTGTTAGCATCAGAGGCTACTGTGACTGTTCCAGAACCACCACTAGAGCCAGAGTCTTCAGTTATGTCAACACCTATGGAGTCTGCTGTAGTAGCAGAAGAGCATGAGATTGTTCCAGAGAGACCGGTGACTTACATGGTCTCTGAAACTCCCGTAATGTCAGCTGAACCGGCTGTGTTAACATCAGAGCCTTCTATTATGTCAGAGACAGCAGAAACCTTTGATTCCGTGAGAGCTTCAGGACATGTTGCCTCAGAGGTATCTATGTCCCTCTTGGATCCTGCAGTAACTATTCCAGAGCCATCACAGAGCACTCTAGAGCTTCCAGCCACAGCTGTCTCAGAGCTACCAGCTGTGGCTGTTCCGGAACCACCAGCTGGGACTGTCCCAGAGCCCCCAGCCATGGCTGTCCTGGAGCCACCAGCTGTGGCTGTCCCAGAGCCACCAGCTGATGCTGTCATGGAGCCTCTGGCCCTGGCTGAGACAGAGCATGTTACCGTTCCTGTGCCAGTTGTTTCTGCCCTGGAGCCTACTGTTCCTATCCTGGAAACAGGAGTTTCTGTCCTTCAGCCTAACGTGATTGTTTCAGAGCCATCTGTTTCTGTCCAAGAATCTGCTGTGACAGTTTCAGAACCCGCTGTTACTGTCTCAGAGCAGACTCAAGTAATACCAGCTGAGATGATGTTAGAGTCTACACCAATGATTCTGGAATCTAGTGTCATAAAAGGAATGAATTTACTATCTGGTGATCAAAATCTTGCTCCAGAGATTGGCTTGCAGGAGATTCCCATGCATTCAGATGAAGAGCCACATGCTGAAGGACACCTGAAGAATGACTCTTATGAAAGTAAACATGGTATAAATGTAGACCTTAATATAAATAATCATCTAATTGCTAAAGAGATGGAACACAACGCAGTGTCTGCTATCAGCACTGGTGCTGTTGGTGAAATTGGTGAAGAGAGAATTTTGCCCAGCAGTGAGACTAAACAATGCACAGTGTTGGATACCTGCCCTATTGTTAGTGAAACTGATGGGGGAGGAACTGGTCCCCTTGCTCTTGAACCTGATGCATTGGGAACTAGTAAAGGTATTGAATTTGCCACAGCATCTGCTCTTAGTTCAGTTAGTAAATATTATGTTGAAGTATCTTTGACTACGCAAGATACTGAACATGACATGGTAATTTCCAGCAGCCCCAGTGGTGGTAGTGAACCTGACATAGAGGGACCTTTGCCTGCTAAAGATATTCATCTTGACTTACCATCTAATAATAACTTTATTAGTAAGGATGCAGAAGGACCATTACCTATAAAAGAGAGTGACCAGACATTAGCAGTTGCTCTCAGCCCTAAAGAAAGTAGTGGAGAAGATAAAGAAGTACCTCTCCCTACTAAAGAGATATTGTCTGACTCAGGATTTCCTGCTAATATCGATGATATTAATGAAGCAGATTTAGTGAGACCATTACTTCCTAAGGACATGGAGCGTCTTACAAGCCTTAGAGCTGGTATTGAAGGACCTTTACTTGCAAGTGAAGTTGAACGTGACAAATCTGCTGCCAGTCCAGTTGTAATTAGTATACCAGAAAGAGCGTCAGAGTCGTCTTCAGAGGAAAAAGATGATTATGAGATTGTTGTAAAAGTTAAGGACACACATGAGAAAAGCAAGAAAAACAAGAACCGTGACAAAGGTGAGAAAGAAAAGAAAAGAGACTCTTCATTAAGATCTCGAAGTAAGCGCTCCAAGTCATCTGAACACAAATCACGCAAGCGCACCAGTGAATCTCGTTCTAGGGCAAGAAAGAGATCATCTAAATCCAAGTCTCATCGCTCTCAAACACGTTCACGGTCACGTTCCAGACGCAGGAGGAGGAGCAGCAGGTCAAGATCAAAGTCTAGAGGAAGGCGATCTGTATCAAAAGAGAAGCGCAAAAGATCGCCAAAGCACAGATCCAAGTCCAGGGAAAGAAAAAGAAAAAGATCAAGCTCCAGGGATAACCGGAAGACAGTTAGAGCTCGAAGTCGCACCCCCAGTCGTCGGAGTCGGAGTCACACTCCGAGTCGTCGAAGAAGATCTAGATCTGCCGGGAGAAGGAGCTTTAGCATTTCTCCAAGCCGAAGGAGCCGCACCCCCAGCCGAAGGAGCCGCACCCCCAGCCGAAGGAGCCGCACCCCAAGCCGACGGAGCCGTACCCCCAGCCGACGGAGCCGTACCCCCAGCAGACGGAGCCGCACCCCCAGCCGACGGAGCCGCACCCCTAGCCGTCGGAGAAGATCAAGGTCTGTGGTAAGAAGACGAAGCTTCAGTATATCACCAGTCAGATTAAGGCGGTCACGAACACCCTTGAGAAGAAGGTTTAGCAGATCTCCCATCCGTCGTAAACGATCCAGGTCTTCTGAAAGAGGCAGATCACCTAAACGTCTGACAGATTTGAGTGAGTCATTTTAAAATTTAATGGTATTGTAATAGAGAATGATTTAAACCTGACTTTTTTCTGATCGTTGAGTCAAATGGAATATTTTGGGTTATTGGTTTAGGATAAATATTGTGTTTAAACTTTCATAATTAGATTAGCTTGTGTTCAGAAAATTTGGGGATAAGTATAGTTGTAGTTAGAGTTAGAAAGACCTGCTTTGGAGTATATTAGAACCCAGGTGTTTGCATACTTGAATGTTTTATTTTGCTTGAACCATCGTCCATAACTAATAATGGAAAGTAGAAGTCCAGTTAAAGACAAGGCTAGTATATTGCCAGATTGTTATTGTATGTATTCCAATATAGATCCTTGCAAATGAGCCTAAAATTACAGTGTTTCTTTTTAATAAGTTCCAAGTCTTAAAATGGCAATACAGGACAGTTAAATGTTTGTTAGGGTCATTCTGATCAGTATAATGGGTAGTGGAATTGAATAGGGAATTTTGCTTGTGGGGAGTCATTTACCTGAGTGGCTGATGCTGGCAAAGTAAAGTGAAATAGATTAAAGTGATTTACAATGATCTGCCTTACTTTAAAAATAAAGTGCTCTTATTTCCCCTGGTTTTAAGAAGTGTGTAGAGATGGTTAAAACTTGATGGGTAATGCATGACCACCTGCAGTAATAATGGAAATTTATCATTATCCCAGTGGATTGGACATTTTCAGGTCACAGTTGTCTAAAGAAAATGACTGACAGAACATGCATTCAGTTCAACAAAAGGTTTCTGAGTTCTTTTTTTATTCAAAGCAAAAGAACAGTATGTAATTTCTGAGGTGCTTACAAGTTAGTAGAGGAGACATGGATAAAATGCATTTATGTCTCTTTTACCATATAGTCAGACTGCCGAACAGAGCAAAATGTGGTGATTGATGAAAAGCACTTTGGCGGCACTGTGGAGAGAAATGTTAAATTCTGGCTTAAGACTTGTTAGAAGGGGTGGCGCTTGAACTTGGGCTCAAAGTGTGATGTAAAATGTTGTTAGAGATTAGAAGGAAAGTAATTTAAGGACATGATAATTTTGGAGAATAAAGTGTAGTAGGCTTTGGCAGGTGTGTGTCGAGTGTGTGGCAAGATGATCATTATAGTTGTGTAATTTAGCTATTTTCTGTAGTATTTGGGAAGCTAAATGTGGACGTAATACTTTAGAGGGCATTCACTTAAAAACTTGGAGTCAAAGAGTGATTTCATCACAGCTGTAAGTTAGGGCAGAAAATTGGTGCCTTTAGTTTTGTTAGCATGTAAAAATAATACAAAATGTACAGCCTTTTAGGAAAACTGTGTCTTATATTTTTCCTCTTACAGATAAGGCGCAATTACTTGAAATAGCCAAAGCTAATGCAGCTGCCATGTGTGCTAAGGCTGGTGTTCCTTTACCGCCAAACCTAAAGCCTGCACCTCCACCTACAATAGAAGAGAAAGTTGCTAAAAAGTCAGGAGGAGCTACTATAGAAGAACTAACTGAGGTAAGCTAGACAGAATTTGTTTTCATTCTTAAATGGATTATTCCAGTGATGTTGACTCTGGAGCGTGCCAAAACCCGAATTGTGGGCTGAACTGATAATGGCTGGCACCGAGTGGCCAAAACCCGAAATACAGATGTGGCAGCGGCAGAAGCTCTGTTTAGCAGGCCATTATCCGGGATGGCTAAGCTCCGCTAGCTAAAAGTTACTTCCCATTACTTTTGCTTTCCAGTTTTAGAAGCCAAACTGACTGAGGAGTGGGACGGTTCGTTTGAATGGAGGAGGTGTTGAGTGAGCAACACGCAGAAGCTCGCCTACAGTTTCGTTTCCATTCACGACGTGTTCACTGATCGCCACGAGTGTACTGCATATACGCAAAGACACAGACAATCTTCAGAAATGATCTTTTGCCACCGGAGCTTGGAAATTAATGAGAATAGCTGGCCATTGCCTGAAAGGAACTTCTTTCGCATCAACATTTCGGGTTTTGGCTGTTTGGTACCAGCCATTGGTGATAATGGCCAGCCATTATCAGTTCTTCCTGCGGTTCGGGTTTTGGCAGTAACATATATATTTTAAACACATTTTTGTTTTTAAGAATTTGATCTTTTCACTTGAGGCTTTTTTTTTGGCTTTGTTTTATTATTAATATTATTTTTGTTTTTTGGGGGAGGGGGGAGGGAGGATGCTGAAATATTGCTGCTAGGATCCAGAAGTACCACATTGTTTCATATATTGAAACTTGTTATTGGCTAGCCTTATGCCAGCCTGCCACTGTCAATATATTCTGTTCCCCTTGGTTACAAGCTTGGTATACTCTGTGTTTTTGGCTAAATGAGCTTTTTATCCTATTGTAATATTTTCAATTGATAATGGATGTGACAGATTCTGCTTGTATAGAGACAAGTCCACCCAAACTTACTCTGACCTTTTTATAAAGCCAGGTAATGAAGTCTGTTCCTTTGCTTCTCAGGAAGGAATTGACTCTGCTTTTTGTGTCAGACCTCATCAGTCATACCTTCTCCATCATGCCTTATTTTCCATTCTTGAGTTCTGTTCCTTTAGAGAGTCGACCTACAAAACATTTATGGAGAGACATGTTGCTATCTAACCCAATCGCATATATTTCAGATCTTTTATTTTGCCATACATTTGGGGGATCATTAGTTTCTTACTCTGTTTTCCCACTTAGATTTATTACAATATGAATTACAGCTCTTTTTTTTTAACTTAAGGACCTAGTAAAGGTTTTTATTGCTTGCTTATCAAATCCAAGCTCCTTATCCAAGACCTTGTGAACACTTAATATTTCCCTATGTTTTTAGCCTCATCTTCTGCCCTCTTGTCCCTTCTAATAAGTTTCTTCTCACCTTTTTACCACCACCTAACTAGGATGACTTTCTTGTCTTTTCCCTGCCAGTCCTTATTCTTAACTATGAAAATCTGGCTTAGAATTCTTCAAGGAATATCCCTTGATTATCAAATTCTGCCTGATTCTGTTCTCTCTTAGGCTTTTGTTCTTTCAGCACTTACGTATTCAGTTTGTATTATATCAGTTTGCACTTGTTAATTGTGTTGCTCTGTAAAAGCGTTCCTCAGTTATCTCATGTGTATGTATTCTGTCTCTTGAACTAGATTGTAAGCTCCTTGGGAGCAGGGACCATGTCTTTTACTTTTTTTTGTATTTCCTGGACAGTGCCCAGTACAGTGCTCTGCACATAGTAGGTGCTCAATAAATGTTGTTGACTGACTGACCACCTAGAGTGTGTTTAAATCATAGCAAATTAGCTGAGTGACCTATCTCTAACCTATCATTAATCTTGTCTTACTTTTGGAAGTTGATTTTATGTGGTTTTGATTCTTTTAAGAAATTGTATGTTCTGCATAAAGTGTAAGATTTATCTCTTGTTTGTTTTTATTTTTTAAGAAATGCAAACAGATCGCACAGAGTAAAGAAGATGATGATGTAATAGTGAATAAGCCTCATGTTTCGGATGAAGAGGAAGAAGAACCTCCTTTTTATCATCATCCCTTTAAACTCAGTGAACCCAAACCCATTTTTTTCAATCTGAATGTGAGTATTAACGTTTATGGGTTGATGAAACAGCACACATAAGGAACTCAAATTTAAGTAAAACTCAAATGGAATTTAGTTTTTTAATTTATGGCTTATATACTGTGAGCAATAACAAACAAAATCACTTTCAGATTATGTTGAAAAAAATCTGTTGAGTTTTAATTGAGAAATACATTGCTTTTTAGATTGCTGCAGCAAAGCCAACTCCACCAAAAAGCCAGGTAACATTAACAAAAGAATTTCCTGTGTCATCTGGATCTCAACATCGAAAAAAAGAAGCAGATAGTGTTTATGGAGAGTGGGTTCCTGTAGAGAAAAATGGTGAAGAAAACAAAGATGATGATAATGTTTTCAGCAGCAATTTGCCCTCTGAGGTAAGTAAGGAATATTATGTATTTTTCCTTTTTTATACGTGAATCTGCCATTTTATTGTTATTTTATATCTGATTTGGATTCTGTTTCACTCTTCTTAGGGCCGGGTTAAACGGCAGGGCCGGGTTAGACGACAGATGAAACAACCCGCAGCTTCTCATTTGACAGTAACTCGATGCAATTCACTTTGTGGAACCAAGCCACAAAGTGAAAAGCATCGAATTGCAGAGAACAGTGTTATCACATCCCTACCCAACATTGGGCCCTCCTTGCACTTGTGGGAAGGTAGCCCAAGGTACAACTATTTAGCTTCCCGTTTTGCTTCAAGGCTCTATAGCTCTAGATTTTGGTGGTAGCAAATTTACTGGGTGGAGGGACTGAGCAGAGAGAGGCAGATCCTCAGGTTCAACACAAGAACTGGATTGGAAAAGGTCATTGTAGGCTTATGTGAGCATCTTGGATACATAGCCCATTGCCTTTAAATAACGGTAATTTGTTACTATTTCTCTGGGTTGTTTGTCAGATAGCCTTTAGTTTTAATCGTTTTCCCTTCCCTGTGCTACCTTGGCCCTTTTGAATTCTTGTGTTTAACCTAATGCTCAGCCTTGGTACTTCATTTCCCTTCTCCTTCCCCTCTTTGCTACTATTAAAAGTTGGAGAAGTGGAATTCACATCTTAATTTCCAAGAGGCTATAGTTGTATCTTGTCAAAATGACGCAGTAATAACACCAAGTGTCAAAACAACCCCATTAAAATGCTGCCTGATTAAATAATGTGCTGCTAAATATAGTGCACATGAAAACAGCAAGACTGTATATATATGTAAATATATATATATATCTGTATCTTTGTATGTATCTCTGTATCTGTACCTTTGCTGTATCTTTTAATAAACAGTTTACTTTTATTTAACTTGTTGTGCAAAATCACGCTTGGGGGATCTGGGAGGGTGGAGACTTACTAGGGGGGTGGGAGTTTTAAATGATACCATAGACTAGTCATCACCTCTTGCCCTTGGTTTCCAAAGCCCAGACATTTGTCCAAGGACTGGACTAGATATCTGATGCCCCTACAGTGTGGGACTTCTTCCCTACTTCCTTTGCTTGCAGCCCTGGGATATGTAGGTCAGAGAGACCTGTACTGTTCACCTTCAGGTTCCCTTCATTGGCCATATCATCTTCTTCCACTAAACACCTCCAATATTACAAATAAATCCTGTTTATAAAATCAGAAAGTGAACAGAACCCAAATCAGAAACGTTTTTGGTAGTAGTTTTTGTCCCTTAAGCAATTCACAGGCGACATTTTCACTGTTTCGTTTTTTTTTTTTTGACCTGCGGCATTTTAAAAGAGCAAGTTCTTTACAATGAAGTTGGACATGATAACTAACCAGTGCACCTTACAGTCACCAGTGATGATCTGTATTTACATGAGGTTCAACAGTTGAAGCAAGTTATACCATCACCAGTGAGGGAGGGATAGCTGGTTGGGACAACAATATTTTAGTGAAACCAGTTGAGTAGCTCAGTTGCTAATCCCCACATCAGGCTACGTGCACATATCACGAGGGAAAAGGTTAACTGATAATTTGCAACTGACTTAAATCTTGTAGTAGCTGCATATAAACCATAAGAGGCCTGAACAGACTTATTTATAAATTCTGATACATATGCTTTTAGTAATTTCTTGCAGATTAAGCATTTGACAAAGAGTTGGAAAAAACATAGGGAGATTATTTATGTGAGAAAAATTTTCCAATGGAGTGAAGCCCTATAAATATTGCAAAATTCCAAGGGATTTTCCTGCGAAGATAAGTGACTATAACTATTTTAACTTGAGTTGAACATGGGGAAAGTGCTTAGTGAATCCTGATGATGATGTTTCTTTTTGGTTGAGATTTATATGTGTGTATTGATATATATTTTTGACCTTCAGTACTCAGCCATTTTCAGTTTTAAAACTGACAGTGAGGTGTCTTAGCCTTATCTTTTACCAAAACTGATTGTCAGATTTTAATTAAATGTTGGAGGGAGTTATTCCAAAGGAATCCTGGGGGAAAAGGTGGGTATTCAATTTTATAATAAGGAGTCTTTTATTAAAGCAGGGGGGAAGAATTCTGTTCAGAGGGCTAAACAAATGAAGATTTCTATGGAGGGAGGATATATACACCTATTTGATATCAGAACTCTTCAAGCTAGTTTCTTAGAAGATTAGACTCAGAAAAGACAGGTTAGCTTTAAGCAAATATTCCCCAGATGTTAGGAGGAAAAGAGACAGGATTTTGTTTTGCTTGCAGGTCTCTGCTTTTACCTAGCAGTAATAGTAAACACTAGAAGAAAGGTTCACAGTATAACATGTTTAATTCTAGGTATTTAGCTGTATCTTACAAATATATTTCTAAGATTAATGATGTATGAACCAATGTTTGTGGAATACCATTGGTGACATTTTATGGGGATATTGATCCTTTTGATTCCCTGTCGGGTTGAAATAAAGGCTTTATAGAGTAAAGGAAAGTTCTTTTAAATGGTCAATATTTTAACTGGATAGTATTTTTTACTTTTTTTTACCAATGGAGTTTGTGGTTCTTTAGTTTTGAACATAAAACATTTAGGCAAAGATCACAGATTTTATCTCAGCTTTGCCATAATCCTCAATCCTACCGATTGTCTTGCACATGAGTGCTCTTTGACTTAAGTTTTGAGTGGATAGACGTGGATGGATCAACATAAATCCGTATCTTACGGAATATCAACTCATCAGACTGTGCCCTACTGCCATAGCATCGTCTTCCTAACCAGAAGCCAGCCAGCATCATCCTCAGTAAGGAGTGACTGCAGAACTTTGACCATATTTGTGTGAATTTGAGTTATGAAAAATGTTGGAAAACTAATATCTTAAAATTGTCCTCGGGGGCCTTAATTCTTGGTAATAATGTTAGCAAAGGCTTATTGGGTAGAAGATTTAAATGTAATATTTGACGTAAAATTTCCTTCCGTTTATTATCAATCATCAATGTTTTAAAGGTCCAGAGGTAGCTCCATTTAGGTCTAGTGATTGCTTACATGTTAAGATAATTTTTCTCAGGCAGTGTGCTTGGTTCGTATTGTTGCAGAATAGTTCCACATCCCAGTGGAGCTAAAATTCTCTTAGGTTTAGAAGCTCTAAAGGTAGAAAGTTTAGGGAAGCTAAGTTTTTTGGGGTGAGATGAAAATTTTAATTGGAAATTAAACATATAGGTTCTGGTGCTAGAGTGTGTTAAGTATAGCCTTGTTGTTCATTCTTTTCTTCTTAGATTCTTCTAGGTGATTAATGCTGAATGTCTTGGAACCATTTAATGGGTTAGCTGTTTTCCGGTTATAAATCATTTAGATTAAATGTATAAGTTAACTAAGAGTTGCATTAGAGAAGTTTATATGATATAATAGAAAGGTTCATAATTTATTTTTCAAAACTAACCAAACACATAACTGAGACATTCTGTATTTAGTGTGGCTTTTGTTTTTGCAGTTGTCATTTCCTTTTTTATAATGAACCGCTCTGTATTCTTTTATAAGTATTTTAAAATCATGTTTTATATATAGGTCAGATGCCTCTTTAGTTCTATTTTCTTAAAATTTTCCTTTTATACCATCTTTTAATTTGAGATACCTGCAATTACCTGTGTTGAAGATAATTTTTGTATTACAGGAGTTACTTTTCTTATTTCCTAATAATTCTCTTTAGCTCTTTTATATCCTTTCAGTGACTTTCTAAAGAAATACTTAGGTACTTGTTCTATTTCTGTAAACAGTTGGGTAACAAAACGGGGAAGTAAATTGACTTGGAAGAATTTTTTAAATGAGGAAGATACAGAAAGTACATGATTATAACTTAGGCCATGAAATGCATGCTACATGGTGCCAATTACTTTGTATATTTCATTATTCCTGACACCTTTTTTAGGTTATAGAAGAAGTAGTAATCTGTTTTGCTGCTAAAGTAGAGAAGTCAAATAACTTGGATAGGTGTTTATTAAGGTGAGAACTGGAATTATAATCCAGGAACACTCTCAGGTAGATTTCACCGTTTAGACCAAGGCCTAGGGAAAAGGAAATTAAACACCCGCTTCCCCAATATTATAATACCTAGAATATTACTACACAATCATAATTATACTTTATATATTAGGTAGAAAGTCTGTAGTGTATCTGTGGAAACAAATAAGGCTTGTTGATGACAACTTGATAATAATATTCTGTGAGATTTAAGATTCTTTTTATTCCAGTTTTTAGAATGGCTTTTTAGCGTCATTTTTTGGGTACCTTTCACACATTCCTGTTTCTGAGCAACATTAAAAGATGGTTAAGGCTCTAAAAACTCTATAGTATAGTTCACTATATTCCGTATATACACGCACACGTGCTGTATAGTCCAATACGGTGGTCACTAGCCACCGAAAAGTCAGTTCCTTAATTGCACTAGTCACATTTCATAATGCTCCTTAGTTGTCACTGTAGAAAATTCTGTTGGACGGTGCCGCTCTAAAGGGTAGCTGTGATATTTTATGATTGTTTTAATACTGATGTGTAACATTTGGTCTAGTCTTTGAATATTAATGCTTTGGAGATTATAGTGAGCTTTTATGCATTATTGCATATTCTGAGTTACCTTGAAAACCTGGAAACATGCTTGGTTCTTTTTTGAAAGAAAAGCAGGCTTTTTGATGCAAACTCTTGAGGATCCTTAAAAGGTTAAGATAATCCTAATTCATTCTATTTTGAGTATGTTGCTTCACATTAAAAAATATGAATATGAAATTAATAGTCAAATTACTATTTGGTAATAAAGTTTTGACATGAACTTGCAGTTCACTTGGTAAGCCTGTTGAAGACTAAATAAAGTTGTATTACCTCAGGAGAAAAAACTAGTTGTAATTTTATCTAAACTAAGTTTTATTAAACGTTAAGGTTTTGGTATATTAAAATTTCGTTTAGAGTGAGGTGTGCATTTAACATAAAATATTACTGAGAGGGGCTTGCCTGGTGATGTAGTGGTTAAGTTCGTACACTCCACTTTGGCAGTCCAGATTTTACAAGTTCACATCCTGAGTGCGGACCTACACACCGCTCATCAAGCCATGCGTGGTGGCATCCCACATACAAAATAAAGGAGGATTGGCACAGATGTTAGCTCAGGGCCAATCTTCCTCACCAACAAAAAGAAAAAAAAATATTACTGAGATTTGAATGAAATTTCATCCTGAGGATAAATGATGAGGCATTTAGATAACCTGCTTACTCAGTAAAGTCTTCAAGAGAAAAAAGGATAAAGATATGTCTTCAGAAGGATGAATTTACAGATAGATATATTCATTTGCTTTCCACTTGGGAAGAATCAGTTGTATTCTAGAAAATTTGGAGTTTTCAGAGCCATCTTAACTACATTTCTGTAGCTAATTTATAGTTGGAAATGGGGGGGTCAGTGCTTGGGATGGTGGGTAGATAGATTTCCCTCAGTATCTCCTTTGAGTTTAGAGTTTTTATGATAAAAACCTATTATTTATACCTAAACACCCTAACACCTAGATTTATGGACTGCTGTGAAACCCAAAATAATGCTGGCAAGGCTAATGAGCAATACTTGAGATATATTTGGTGGGCCTCCAAAAATTACATCAATAATCCTATGTAATCCTAAGGAAACTTCTAAAGTAGGCCAAAGGAACATAAATTTTGACCTGAAATATCTGGGTTCCCATTTAAAGTCTCAGCAGTTAACTAGAATTATAATAGAAGTAAGTGAAAAGTGAACATACTAAGTTTTTTAGCGTTTCAGTCTGACTGCTTAGATTATTTCTTATGGGCCCTAGAAATATTCCAATTAGTGTGGATAATTTACTAATTTGATTAAGAAATTAAGATCTTTGATTCATGAGATCTACAGACAGTCTCATAAGCAATTACAGAATTAATTCAGTTTAATTTTGCTTTCATTTTAAGGCAATATGTAAGAATCTATACTTTGTGGAAGAAAAATTTCACTGAAGGAATATTATTAGGTGATTTAGCAAAATAATTAAGAATGGAGTGATTAAGGGGTTCTGAAGGTAGGAAATATTTACTCATAGTCATATACCCTTCTCTACTATATAGGTCTTGTTTTTACAACAAGTATTTATATGCAATACACAGTCAAATTACAGGTGGTAGCCTTCGCTTAGCTTTTTGAAAAATCCTTAGCTAACTTATTTTACTGACTTCCTTATGTTAGTCATATCTTTACAGTACTTACTAATCATTCTTTGTATATGAACATAGGAAAACCTTCCCATGTCAGATAAGCATTCTTCCAAAAACGAATTTTCTTGGGTGAAATAACTAGGAAATATTAATGGGTTAAGTTGTGTAAGAAGAAAAACAAGTATTAAGAATTGGTGAGTTGATACAAATCAATCTGAGCTCCTAATGTTAGAACAAAAAACATCAAATACTTAGTTGATAGGTTTTCCCTTGTGTGGTTGTGCCTTCCACAAATCTGACAAATTGGGAATTTGCTCTAAAGAGGAGGGGACTGACTACCTTTAAGAATTTTCCTGGACATTATGAAGCATTTTAAGAAGTTAAACCATAGTCACTTCTGCCTAGCATAAGGTTTTTACAGGTAGAATATGAGCTTTGAAAAGAAAGATCTAAGACATTTCAAATGTATTTTATTTTAAATGTTTAATTTATGTTAATCCCGAAGAAATTTTTTTTTGAGGAAGATTGGCCCTGAGTTAACATTTGTTGCCAGTCTTCCTCTTTTTGCTTGAGGAAGATGGTCCCTGAGCTAACATCCTTGCTGGTTTTCCTCTACTTTGTATATGGGACGCTGCAACTGCATGGTCTGATAAGCTGTGTGTAGGTCCGTCTATGCCCTGGATCCGAACCTGTGAACCCTGGGCCGCCAAAGCAGAGTGCTCGAACTTAACCACTGCCACTGGGCTGGCCCCCCAAAGAAATATTTTAACTTTGGTCATAAATGTATATACACTATGACAAAAGATTAATTTATTTATATAATCATTATATTCTTTGAAGAAAATGAGTCCTTAAGACTGAACTATATCTATGAACAACGCAAGAAGGTGAAAAGACGTGCAGATGAGTGAGAGATCATCCACACGATAGTTCTCTGCTTGCTTATTCAAGAATCTTATTGCTTCTGAAGGTTATGCTAATAAGTAGGGTAAAATGAAAACTACTGATGAGTATGAAATTAATAGTTCAAAAATAGTTAAAATTCTCAGTTCACTATAAATAACTATTTTGTTAGTGAAGCCTAGAGATTTTTAAGTCCTTTGTGGAACTTTCTATGATCATAATTTGATACAGTAGAAAATATGACATCAAATTCTGGGTTGAGTTCAACTGCTGCCTCTGATACTTTGTAACTTACCTTAAACGATCCTTGTCTACTTTCTAAGGTTATTTTACCTTTTTGAATCTTCTTCCTAGTTTACAAGATTATTAATAGATGACTGTTATTTTGTTTTTGACATGTAGCAACTAAAGATATGAGCATTTTTCAGAATGTAGGGGGTCTATTGTAATTTGAGATAATTATCTATGTTTTCTTTCTTAGCCTGTGGACATTTCTACAGCAATGAGTGAGCGGGCGCTTGCTCAGAAAAGACTCAGTGAGAATGCATTTGACCTTGAAGCAATGAGCATGTTAAATCGAGCTCAGGAACGGGTATGTAGCAGTTTTAATGTCTAAATGAGATTTTTGCTAACTAGATGGTTGTGACATAAGCAAAGTCTGTGGCATGCTGTTGAAATGTAGGTCTTTATCTTGAAAATCCAGGAAAATAAATCATTTATCTTAATTAGCTAGTTTAGTTTAAATGAGATCAGCGATTTGGGGCCTGATCATTCATTCATTAAATGTTTATTGTGTACTATGTGGCAGGAACTTTTTCTTGAGGGAATGAAAGAAAAAAATTCCCTGCCTTCGTAGAGTTTATAATCTGGTCTATTATAACAGCTAAGTGCCCCTAATAGTCCTGTGAGATTTAGGCACTATTATGAGTTCCTGTTTCCCAGCTGAGGATACTGAGGTAAAGTGTGGTTAAGTGATGCCCAAGGTCACAAAACTAGAAAGTGAGGGAAGTGGGGATTCAAATCCAGGTAGTCTGAGTCCAGAGTCTACGCTTTTCACAATGGACAGCTTCTCTGTTTCTCCTCTACTTTTCTATGGTAGAGCTGTATGGAAACATAAGTACATGTTCAGACAGAGAGGAAATACATTGCCCTACAATACCAGGTGTTCACTAAATAAACTTTGAATGAATGACAACTGATTCTTGAACCATCACAATGAATGCTGGTGATAATGTAGTGCACAGTTTTTAAAGAAAGCCGTTTATGTGTTTGAACCAATTTCCTGTATTTATTACTCTTTAAGCATATATCTTGAATTTATTCTGGATTTATAATACTTTAAA